TCCAGGTTCCTTCCGCACCTTTTGGATTATTGGTCCCCGCTCGTGCATGTGCTTTAAAACCTCTCCGCGTGTTCTATGTTTCCTCTTGCACTAAATTACACGCATTTCAATTAGCAACTAAATGCGTACAGTCAGTCCATTTTAACCTTCTAAATCTCAAATATCTGAATTCTCCTTTTTTAATACTTTAAATATCAGAGTACCGGAATATTGGAAAATTCGAATTTATTAGTTTCTTCTTAAGATTACCTACGTAGTTCATATAGTAATAGCGACAATACATCTGCAAGGATCATACAGTTGACGGTTCAAACCTTTCAGATTCTCTTCTATGTTAACGTGTCTCGTGTTTTCTCGTGTATCGTGGAGGCTACGACATTACCATCCTCAGTTTAATCTCTATGATTGCACACTTGTGTCTCGAATTCAATCATATCGCGAAACCACCCATAATCGTCCGGTTTTACCCGTCCGGGATTACGCGTCTTGTGTTTAACCAATCCTAAATTGCGTCCACTGACATCCATTTTTACTCGTACTGCTTTGCGCGATTTGTGTACCCACCTTGGCGGGAATCTGTCTGCAGACATAACCTTACCTCTCAGAAAGACTTATATGAAACTATTGCTCCGTAAGGATATCGGGTGCAATATTCAATAATCAGATGGAAACCATCGAACTATTTAGAAAACGTTAACAATATTGCCTCTTACTCCCTCTCATTTTCTGGAATCACAAACGGTTTTTTTTAATTTATTGCTTTCTGAAGTAAATAAATATCGTCCTGTGCTCTGACTACAAGTTTTCCCCTCCATTTGTCATTTCGCATCAACTCAACATAGAACTGAAAATGCGTAAATATAATTATTTTATAATATGGATTTATGATATAACATATAACGAATAACGTATAAAGTATGTACAAATATTTATAATACTACGTAAATACTAGAAAAATATTCACTATAAAAATCCTTTCTACTTCCTCCTTCAACTTCAACTGTGAGAGGGCTGAGTGGTCACCTTCTCCTCTGCAGCATCGATGACAGGGAGCTTCTACGGTTAGTCCCATGGTGGCGGAGTTTCAAGAGAGCTATTTAGTTGAGTAGATTGCAACTACTGCTTGGAGGAGAATTCTGGTGGCTGGCTGCTCGGATTGATAGTTTTCCCTGGTTTCTCCGATCAATACCAGGCGGATGAAGATGTAGTGCCCTAACAAACGGGTGTAAGGCAGTCTGCGATATTTCTTTTCTCATTCCTCTCCCCTTATACACTCGCATGCACTAAACTTCTACACATGTCGAAAGGCAAGTTTGTAAGGTCTTAGAACCAGTCCTGTCTGCGGTGGTGACCGCTGGAGGAGATTCTTGGAGGCGGAAAACCCCGCAAGCCGATGTGTAGGTCAGCGCTGGATCTCATGTTCCAATATGGTAGGAACACCGCAGTTTCCCGAGTAGTAACATGCACAACACTAATGAAATACGACTCAACTTACGTACCTAATGACCTAAGAGGTTGTTGTGCCCGAAAACACTACGTACTCAGGCTTTCACAAGTGCTGCTAATCATGATGAACGGCAAAACCTATTCTGGACGGAAACAACACGTAAGACGTACACATCACTGCGAACGATAACCTGAGGACAGCCTGACTTTCGTTTGACTGTGTTGCCGTACGGTTAGCGCCATCTATAAAGATGTTCACGACTTCCAATCGGATGATTATTCATGACATTTGTGTCGTGGGTGAATGATTATGAGTAATACGATCACTTACCTTCACGTCCACCATCAGTATGGATTTGCAAACATGCGTTTTGTAACTCGTGCTCAATACACCAAACATACGTTACGACATATAGCTCCTTCTTTTACGATGTCTGTCCATTACTACGACAAGAAAACGCGTTCAAGTTGTAAAAAGAACTCGGTCTACTTTTACACCGAAACAGTTTCGTTCTTCGCGTCAACATTTACGAAGTTAAACAAATAATTGTAACACCAACACATGTATTCTTCTTGGCTGCACCTTGAAGATGTCAGCTCGAACTACAAGCGTACATACGGCCTTCTTGCAAGGCTCTAATCGGCACCAAGCCACTCACTCACGTTCTCGGTACAGCAATGAGAAGCAGCGTCCAAAAATAGCCCTTCTTGGAAAGGAACGCCCTTCGGTCTTGTATAAATTTTTATAAGATCACGTCCGCACTGCGTTCGTATTCAATAGACTGAATGTTCGATAGCCGATACTTATGCATGATTCCAGATCGAGAGTTGGCGTGGCTAAACTCTCGAAATATTGGTGGTCTACGGGGCAGTACTCAGAACCGGGGTCTGGCTCTTCAACAACCTCGACCTCCTAGTAAAACACACCTCTTCGGTCAAACACGTGGCTACGACGACTGTAGAGGGGAGTTATGCCGCTTCTATATGGATATGTAATAAGCGTTTATGTGTTTATAACATTCCTTCAGCCTTCTCGAACGTTTATACGACTCTCACATTTCGAGATGGCGAAGGAGAGGGATATCTGCGGTGGCACCTTCCTCCGTGAAGATGGCTTTAAACACGCGTTGAGCAATCTTCCTTGTGCACGCACCCCGACGTATGCATTAGTTTCCATCTTCGTGGAAAAGGAACGCTTCTGTCTGACTACATTGTCTTTGAACCATTTGTCAGTATTTTTGTTCGTTCTGGACGTTTTTCTCTGTTCGCTTACGTGCATCCGTCTTCCTTCCCTTTCGCTCTCTCAATTTCCAGAGCCCTTCTGCGAACATGATTGCTGCTGAAATGGAGGATGTAGGGAGAAAAGACAAAAAAAGGGGGGGCAGTATCATAAATCCCAATCTAGAGAGAAACGAAGGGGAGACTAACAATTTATTTGAAGAAACGTCTTCTCTAGATGCGCAGTAAGTTCGTAACGTATCTAGATGGGTTTGGTACGCTCACATTGTAGTAAAGTATGGATTGTTCTGTGATATCGTCCATTGTTTTACGAGAGGTACTAAAATGAAAACGCCACAAACATGATATTTTTCCGCTCCCGTTACGCGATCCCGACAACAAATAAAATAATACTAGATTTATCCCCGGAATATTTTTCCGGAAATAATATTTTAAAAGCACGGTTTCTGGAAGATTTGAAGAGAAAAGCATTGTGCAAGAATGACTAGACAACTACGCAGTCAACAACAGTCACTCCAACGAAACGACAGTGCGACAAATAACCATTACGATAACAGAACATCGACCCGCTTGTCCATTATGAGTCAGGACGAACTTCACATCACCGTAATGACAGAGTATTGTGGAAGAGACCTATTCAACAAATCTGTTTTCAGTTATCGAATGTCCTTGAACTTTCAGACTCCTCATTATTTCCCAATTACTGTTGGTGCTCCACAATGTTTTCAATGTAGTGACTAACGAACATTTTAACAGAAATTCTTTTTACTGAATACAACCCCATAAAAGTATGCTTCAAACGGCAATATTAGTCTATAATGAACAGAAAAATGATTATAAATCGATGTTACTCAAAATCGATTGTTATCCCTTAATCCATTAAAAAAAGTGTTTCTCATAATCACGATTACCCTGCAAATTAATGTAATTATTTATCCAGCTCGCTGTTCAAAGTTACCTGAGACATGAGAGAAATTTTGCAAAAAGTTCCAGTACCGAGGTAGACGCGTCAAAAGAATGGAACTTTCAGTCATTACAGTGCAGTTTGATTTCCTCAATGAAAGTGTACTGTGTTGCGAGAACTTAAAAGTTATGTCGCACGCCATGTGTAGGTAACTCGGAACAACGGGAGTTATAATTATACCAGAAAGACAATTCACAAAATTCAAAATTTCTGTAGAACGTGAAAAGAAACGGAAATAATTGATGGGACAAGTGAATAAATGTAATATATTCTAATAGTCTGTGTTAGGTTACTCTTTACGCAGAGAGAATCAACAGAGCATCAGCTTAGTGGCAATATTTCCGACTACCCAATTTTAAATTTGAAATTTTACTCAATTTATTACAAAAACGCTACAAATTGGTCAGACCACATTTCAAAGGGGTTTTCTATTAGGTCCGAACTAACAACATTTCAAAAATCATCCACTTCATTCAATTTCAATGAAATTTTAAAACGCGCAATGCTTTCTATGACGAGATGGAAAATTTGACCTCGTCCGAAATACACTTGGATCCGACCCTATCCATATAATAGTACACTCTTCTTAAGACCATTGATATTACTCGAAATTGAAAAATTAATCACGACACTGTATTACGCAAAAAGATTTTACACTGAGAATAATTCCATCCTTAATTTAAAGTGTATAAGTCAGAGTATACTTTTCGGAGGAGCTAAAGAGAGCGGCACAGACCGTATTCTTCTAATTAAGAAGAATTTAAAACAATATTTTCAAACGAATTAGTTTACTACATAAACTGTGTGCCTTATAATACTATAAAACCATAAAATAATATATATCTTTATGTGGATTATTCGCGGGGTTAGAAGTGCACATCTTTGGTTAATAAACAGTGTGAATTCAGAGCTCCTTATTTACGTAGCTGCGAATTACATAAAGTCATATAATATCAACAATTCACTGACTTCAGGATATGTTATAAGTAAATTCTGCCAAGCAGATTTCTGGAAAAAAATCTATTTGTATAATTGAGCACCGGTTGGCGTTTTTTAAATATTAAACACTTCTACTTTTAACTTAAATCTGTTGTGAAATTACATTTTGATGTGCCAAATGCCTTTTGAGTTCTAATAATAAAAAGTAAACATTTTCGTTGTGCTTCGGTATACACTCGACGCTTTGAATGTTAACTCAAGTCACTATGGGGGTATATCACCTTTATGGACTTGTCCCTTCAATTACAAATGCAATAAATATAGTTCAGATTCAAAATCTATAAAGAATATGTGAATTTCAGGCAAAATCAATTGGCTTGAAGGTCCAATCCTTTTTTTCGCTCTCTTGCAGAGTAGAGGAAAAGGAACAAAACAACAGAAACTTTACAGGCGATCAGTCGGCGGCAGCTTAAGTGACAGTTCGGGCAGCGTCGCTCACCAGGTATGTGTCCTTACTTCAAATCCCGGCGGCGACCAATTTTCGCCGCCCTGTATTACGATTCTTCTTCTTCTTCTTCTTCTTCTTCTTCTTCTTCTTCTTCTTCTTCTTTTCCTCTTCGCAAACGCTCTGACCTTCTTTCTCTCATGTTCTGGCTTCCTTTTCTTTTGTGAGGTCAATTATATTGTGAGGCCTCTTTCGTTTCTGCTCTGCATTCTGTCGCTCTTATCCCCTTCTTAGTAGGCAACTCTTCATTGAATTTTTTCATTGATGACAGCCGTGTTTACAGTATTGCAGCTATCTAATTGTCGAAGAAGATGATAATAATTATTGAGTGTGACAGGGAATACACTTCTGAGAAGAAAATTCGCGAGACAATCTCCAGAGATGTTTAAGAAAAGGAATGATCATTAAGAAATTATTGAAATGCATAAAATCCTATGAACGTGAACATTCTTCATACGTAAACTCCTTGTATCTAGTACATATTTCACGTCCAATATTACATCACTCCAGACAAAAGATGCAATGTATTTCTTAGAAAAAAAATGTTTTATCTTATGTACACAATAATCTCGATAGCTGAAATGCTTTAAGGTAAAGTAACACACTCTACAATAACCTGATATTTAATATAAGTGTTTGATGTACCAATACTATAGTGTGCATTTTCTTTGTAACGTCCCAGTATATGTTGCTGTGTGACGATGAGAAAATTCACTTTTCTGGTTGAGAAGACCGGAATACGGCGTGGGGATGTTTACGTGCTAACCACACGTACCTCCTTAACCCATGGCCACAAGGCAGGGACGTTGCCGGTAGGTCCATACACGGGCTTTAGCACCCTGTACATACATACGTTTGATGTACGCCTAATGTGTAAGATTATCTGGCAAATGCTAATTGTGGTAGATCATACTTACATTATTCAAATAATGCATCCCTGAATTCGTATCGGACGTCATAATTTTGAACTTCTTTTTCATTGCTGATCAAAAGACAGTGTAACGTGATATTCACAAATGATCGTCCGCTTAAATAACAGGCACGGACCGCCGTCCTTTAATTCGCCTAATGTAAAGAAACAAGAACCGGGCTGCCAACGCATTAAACGCCACCTTGCAATTACGGTTGTTTATCAGCTAACACCCGCTTGTGCAGCTGGCGATCTGCAACAAGATTCTGGAAATTGTGGTCGAAGCCTGAGAGTAAATATATTGGTTACTGATTTTTAGTTACCATACATAATCCACGCTCTTCAGCCATCCATGAGAATAGAGTTCTAGGGATAATATTAATGCGAAGAAAAATTAGTTAATAATTTAGAGAAAATAATATTTACGATCGATCAGATGTCCACTCAATCAAACATTTCTTAAAGTTATTAGTTTTGTACTATGATTAATATTCTTTGAAATACATTACAAAAGCAACACACTACTTTTTTTGACGCAATAGAATTACTCAATAGAATTCTAGTCACTGCTCTATCTCAAATTCTGTCAATAAATTTTGTCCCTCGCTGTCGAAGTTTATTACATCTTCACCTTTATCGCAAAGGACATAATTAGTCAGATGTCTTTCATTGTAGCATTTTCATAGAATAAATATATCATCGTTGGAAACAAACAGGCTCGCCTCCCCAATATTCAAAAGCAGAGGGAGTTTTCTGGAGCACACTAGTATTTATACAAGCGCACAACAGAAATATGCCAACGATATCATCTCAATCAATTATAAACATTTATAAGATTTGCTTACACACGTATATGTTAGAAATTAAATCGCACTATGATCAGTGTTCGTAATAGTATTTCAGTATGTGCTTTATGCATATTTTTTATTCCTTAATTCTACGCCACAAACTATTTGAATTCATTTCATCTATAGCTGATAGCCAGAAACTAATATGTAGCGCATAGAGTACCACATAAGCGGCTCCTTTTGACCCTTTTTTGATCGACTATGTAACATTACCGTTGATTTGGAATGATATGATAAAAATAAATGATACAAATTTGACCAAACCTTCAAAATGAAACGATAATCGGTTTTGTAAAAGTCACGCGGATATCATTATGATAAGGAAACATGCTTCATTCAAAGTTGTATTTGTGACGATTACAAAGTTGTATCTGCGAATATTACGATTTATTTCATTTACTATTTATTTCTATGATTATTTTACTTGAACGTCTTAGTTAGGATAGTAAAGATATTCTTTTGTTTGAAAACCTCCTTCTCTCGTCTTCCTTACGAAGTGTTTGCATAATGTAATGCATTGTGCAACTAGTGCCATGTTAGTGCTAGATTAAATATCGCAAAGTATCCGTATTAGTGCGCTAATCAAGCGTTTTCCCATCGTCGTAGATAAAATTTATTTGTTTAGACACTTCCTGTCACCATATAAGTATATGTGGCTGAGAATTTGTATATACTGTTAGCACGTCTTTAATACAAATAAATTTCATTTCAGAAAGTTCGATTATTTGAATTTTTTTCAAAAAAGAGATAGTTTTAGAAAAGTATTTCTTAAAATATTGTTTTATGGATACAGGTTTTTGTGAACTAGAAAAGGAATAAAACGTTTTCACAAAACAAAATCATTTCATCTTAGGAGTACCTTAAGGATGTAAATAGGGTGACTGAGACTCTCCCACCCCCACCGGCTACAAGTCTGATGCGACACATCTTTGGCAAAACAAACATCATTGGTCGGCTGTTATTATTCGCCGTGATACTTCCATGGAATAAATATATCAGCCGAATCCTCAGTACAAAAAATCCGTAACTGAAAAGCTGCCCCACGCCTCCGTGTTCGCGCGCCGCGCCGGCTGAACTGTCTGTGGCTGTGGGCGTAGGACGGTGGCTGCATTCATCGGCGCGTGAGGCATAACGCTCACTGGCCGATCGTGCGGCGCCGATAGCCGGGCGTGCCAACGGGCTGAGGAGGCTGTGGTAGCGACGATGTTGTCCGTGGAGTAGGGAGTGGCGGTGATGGCGTTGGTGGTGGCAGTTAGGCAGGTGATGCGGAGGTGGCGGTGACGGTGGCAGTGGTGAAGGAGATGGAGGTGGCGATGGTGGCAGGCGGTGACGGTTGGGGTGGTAGCGGGGATGGAGGTGGAAGAGGCGGTGGTGGCGGAGATGGCGGCGGTGACGGAGGCGGCGGCGATGGAGGTGGAAGGAGCGGTGGTGTTGGCGGTGGTGGAGGTGGCGATGGCGGTGGCAGCGGTGGCGGGGCGGCTGCCGGGAGCTCTTTACAAGCAGCTCGGATTTTATTGGCCTTGCCAAATCCATCGCCCGCCGAGCTGCCGCTGCCGCTCCCGGTACATCGTGGATGGATTGGAGATAAAGTGGTATGCCAAGGAATCCAGCAGAGATATCAGGAGATCGGCCGAAGTGCAATGGTCTGGCACTTGGAGATTGAATCATTGACCCACTTCCGACTTGAGATGCAATGTTCTGGGAATTCTTTCGTTGACAGCATGTACTTCCAAAGTTCACGGGAAATTTTAGCATCCAAGTTCGTTGCCAGAAAATAGCTCATCGACCGTCACAGTAATATTTATCTTTTACTAAAAAATCTCTCGACTAGACGATTAAGGGATCTGATAAAGGAAGGTATTTCCAAAGGACTTAATTTTGCCAGCGATTTAGCCAGGATAATATTACAATAAAAAGTGCATAACACTTACGGAACTATTGACACTAGCAGTCGACGCGCCCGGATTCACTAATCAACCATTCCACCGAGATCACTTGGATTACAAACAGCTGATACCTATAATCTACATCTCCTAACTTCTATTTCGTCCAGTACGTCCTGTTCCATTATTTACACCCGAAATTCATAATGTACCATTTATGCCGCAACCTGCCCAGTAACCAAGGCAACCGGTGCACAGTCGGAAACCGACATCACTCACTTAGGGTGAGTGAGTGACAATAGAGAATGGGAAGCGGTGTCGTGCGTGGTGAATCACAGAATACGCTGATAACGACGCGATATTTGAGCTGCGTCGTTAGACACCTGTCAATAACCCATCTATTCCACACGAATCAAAAATAAATACCCTTTCCTCACATTCCTTAAGCAATTCTCTGAAATAGACCCTAATTAGAGGTGACCATTGTTTCCTCAACCGCAAGACTTGCAGTAAGTTTAATTTTAGTTTAGAAATAAGTTAACACACATACGTAAAGTGAATATAAAACTGAACTGTGTAAATGCCATCATAAGGAAAACATAAATAAAATAAGGCACCTGTCGAAACACCTCTCACAGGCAATGTTTTAACCCTTGCTCTAACCTAGAACAAAGTTGAGAGGAACAACGAATGGCCGGCATGGATAGCCGAGGAAAAAGCAAAGTAGCGGAACTAACAAAAAAAGGGGCAAGTAAAAAAAGGAGTATATTAAAGCATTTTCATTCTTGAAACGAATGAACGATTCTTGGAGAATGAAGGAAAGTTGTATTGCGGGGCTGTAAGATTAAAAAGATAGTAAAATTCGTGCGAATTATTCGCACGGGAAGTTTTCGTATTTAATAAATTAGCTTAAAACGGTGATCATCTGCCAATTGTTTTCTCAGGTCATTTGCTTCACATTTATACATTACACCATTTCATACAGAAGTGAATTTTACAATAATTGTCATGGCACTTTAAGATTAACGGGGACACTGAGGAGAAGGAGAAGAAAAATAAGTGGAAGGTGTAGGGTGATGAAAAAGGAGAGGGAGAAAGAGGTGGGGAGGGAGAGAGAGAGAGAAGAGAAGAAATCTGGAAGAGAAAGAGGAGGGAAAGAAAGTTGAGTAAGACAAGTAAAAGAAAAAGGAGATGGAGGGGATGAAAGAGGAGGGGAAGAAATGAGAGATGAAGAATTAGCACGGAGACAAAGAAAAGGAAAAAAATAGAAAGAAAGATTTGTGGAAGAAAGAGTAGGGAAAGGGGAAGGAAAAGAGCAGAGTGAGGAGAAGGGGATAAGAGTGGAATGAGGAGGAG